CGACTTCATAAGTCGCGAGGGAAGGGATTGCTGTACCCTTCTCGCGATAAAAATACCTCAAGCAGGAACCGCAGGAGGGGGTCCAACCCCCCCCTCCTATGTGACCCCGGTTGGGTCGGCTAGCTGGTAGAAGTGGAGGATAGGGGCCAGAGGGGCAAACGACAGAGTCCGATGATGGGAGAAAAAAAGTAAAGATACCGGCACTGCCCATGGACCCCCGCTGCTGTAGCTCGTTTTCCGTCGGATACTCGAAAAATTGAGGGTTGATGGATAGCTTCGAGAACGCACGAAACAGTTGGGGGCCTATCAAGGCAAACATGAACATGAACAGCAACAAGGGCAGCGGCATTGTCATGAAAGCAACATGCTGTGTAACGTCTACACCTTGCACTGCAACAGTGAAGACGACTTGTCACCAAATACCACCACCATTAAAAATCAAGTACTTGTTGCCAAATACCGCCTCCACGACCTCCACATCAACACAACGCCAACACCAACAGCAACGCTAGTGACAAATCTGCCACCAAAATCAACGCATAACAACAGCAGCAACAACTCCTCCTCCTTACTGCTACTGCTACTACACCAGGTGGAAGAGTCGCGCCTCCGCGGGGACGGGTCAAAAGTCGTGACGAAGCAGGGTAGGCAGAGCCTCGCGCGGGTCTCCGCTCTGGACGGAAGGTATTCCGGTTCGGAGGCCAACGCCATCGTGATGATGGACGACTACGTGGTGCAGTCGGAGCCCGTGGTGGACCACCTCACACGCTTCAGCGGGATCACGCCAGGTGTCTGTGCAATTGTCATGATTTCTCCCATCTGTTTTAATCCTCGCAGCTTGTAATTGTATCCCTCGAGATGATTGTTGTTGCTGCACTCCAGGCTCGAGGTTAGGGTCACGCTTTTGGGGGAAACGCCAGGTATCTATACGATTGACATGGTTTCCCATACCCTATTTCTCCCTCGTCGGTTGTAGATTGTACCCCCTTACGTGCCGGCTGTTGCTGTAGTCCGGACTTGCTCCAGGTTAGGATCAGATTACGTCAGGTTACCTATGCGATTAGAATGGTTTACCCCACATGTTGTTCTCCTTTCTGGGTTTTAGATACATCGAACCAAACTCTAGAGTTAGGATGACCGCATTTACTTCAGCGGGAATACGTCAGGTAACCATGTATTCGATTGACGTTGGGTCCCTTGCTGATTTTTTTTTCCACCTCTTCGGTGATAGATGTTGTCCCCATGACTGCCGTTGCTGTAGTCCAGACTCCAGGTTCGTAGCCCCGTTCCGCTCACGGTCCGTTGCGCCTAGCTTCCCTCGAGGGAGACAAAAGGGTGAGGACATGCGGGTTTTGAGTTCGTGGGAATGTCCATCGACCACCCCTAACCAAGACAAGAGAAACCTCGTTTTTTATTCACCAGAATTCTGGGGTCCCCCTGACATTTGTTGTGGTGGGGACTGTGTTGCTTGCTCGGTGTCGTGAAATTTGCGAGCCGCAAGGTCTCTAGAGGGATGAGTGCCTGCCTTTCCAGCTGCCAAGAAAAATGCACACACGCGATCATGACTTTTGCCTACTTTCGATCCAGCACGGCCGCGGTTGGTGCCGTCTCTTTCGGGCAGAAACCGCTTGATACCCATGGTGCCGGCTTCGTTCGTTTATTTGATGTTGAAACGTTGAAACATCATGACTGAACCATGACTCCGCCCCCCGCCCCCGTGTTCTTCCTACCAATTGTTACAAACAGGGGACTTGGATCCTGCCACTTCCAGACACAACCTCCACCACATGCGCACGGTCTACCTGCGTCTACGATGGCTGGCCGATGCGGGATGCATCTTCCTGGGACACGGTCTGGACAACGACTTCAGGATGTGCAACCTCACGCTGCCACCTTCCCAGGTGCTTGTTTTCATTTCGTTCGCGTACTGCTGTAGTCGTTTAATGCTAGGTTTATCGTGACGCCAAAAGGAACCGAGTTCGGTGATCATGTGGTTCACGTGTGGAGTCGGCCACCGTTTTGTTGGGGAACCGATTACCGGGCTAAGGAAATAACCTTCTTTTGCGGTGAGGCAAGTCTTGAAGCAGGAATGAAAAGTTGTAGAATGTTTTTTCTGTATGACCCCGGCTGGTGCGAAAAACGCAAACTGTGCCGGACGGTACCGTGTGGAGTGGTGGTGGAGCCCAGAACCAATGGGGGCGTAAAGGAGTGAAAATACAGCAGTGCCAGCAGTAAGGTAAGGACGGATTAAAAGTGGAAGCTGGAGGAACACAAGGGTCAGATAGCTTTTTGTGTGAAGACAACGCCGAAGCCAACGACAACAAAAGCGATAACAACAACAACAACAACAACAACAACGACAACAACAACAACGACAACGACAACAACAAAAGAAACAATACTGTTTCTGGCAAATCAGGTGATCGACACAGTTCACCTGTGGTCTCTAGCTGGGCAGCGCAAGATTTCGCTGCGGTTCCTGGCCCACTACCTCCTCAAGATCAACATCCAGGGAGAAACCCACGACTCCATCGAGGACGCCCGCATCGCTCTCGCTCTGTACAACAAGGTGACTGCTATTCCTTGGAGTTTTGCGGTGTGCTCGCTCTGTACAACAAGACGGCTGTGCTTGAAAGCAAACTGCTCTGTGATTAAGGCTTTGAGTGTTTATTCAGGTCGTTTTTTGTTCTCGCTCTGCACCATAATGTGGCTGCTGTTCGGTGTGCTCGCTCTGTACAACACTGCTGTGGCTATTCTTGGCGTGTAGAGTGCGCTCACGATGTGCGTGTCTCTGTGGAGACTTTTTTTTTCGCTCTGCACAACCAGTTTACTAGTGTTGAATTTGATGTGCGCTCACTGTGTACTGGTGAACTATTCTCGACGTAGCTGTGTGCTCGAGACCTTGGTGTTGCTTTGAATGTCTTTTGTTCCTCTCGCTTTGTACAAATATGGCAACTTTGCTTGGAAGTAGCGAATGTGTGCTCGAGATGTGTTTCTTGAGCATTGTTTTTCATTGTCTCCGCTCTGTACACAACGCGTGGCCCACCAATGTCTCCTCCACCCACGCGAGGACGCGTGGTCAATGGTCTCACCGCTAAGACATGCAAAACATAAGAGTGCGCCCACTCCCCCCCCCACCCCCCCACGAATGCGTGGCACACCTAACCACTGATACCCCCCTCGTTCGCTGGAAACGCAGTACCGATCACACGTCGCCGCCGGCACCTTCTCGACTACCCTGGACGCCCTTTACAAGTACGGCTGGGAGGTTAGCTGGAAGCTTGACGGGGGCGTCTCCGCGTGAAGGCGGGAAAGATAGGTTAGATTGATTGGCGCGGGCGGGG